ATCAACAATAAAATAAAAATATTATTTATAATATAATCAATGTAAAATATTTTAAAAATAATGTACTTAAAAAATAAATTAAAGTTTATATTATAATTCCTTCCATATCCTAATATATTATATAATAAATTAAGATTAATTAGTATTATAAGTTGTGATGTAAATATAAAACAACAAGTTGGTTAAATCCTTTTGATTATTTTTTATGATGAAAACACCGTCAATAACTTAAAAAAAACATTATTTTCACAGTTTTCAATCATAAGAATACCTTTCTTTAACTGAAGAAATATTGAACATAATGACTTTGACCAAGTCAATAACCTGAGATGGGACATGAGGTAGTAATTGAGTCCAATTGATAATTGAGCCAAGATCTAGATTTTCTACTCTTAAAATCAAGATTGATTAGGAAGTTTTTTATTTTGTGAATTGATGGGAATAGACTTTAGAAGAAGAAATATATTTTATTTAAGGGATAAAGTATTAGATTTTGAAGTGAAAGTTAAAATATATTTAAGATATTCAACTCATTTTGGGATTTGACCAGATCATACATATTGGAAGACCATAAATGATTCAAATTAGGGAGGAAGTGATTAGTTGCTTAAACTTTTGTCTATACAAACTTGAGAATGTTTCATGATGGGATAATTAATTAGTCAAATGCAAAACTTTATAGTTTTTTTTACTCTGGTTTATTTGCTTTCATTTCATCATTAATATAAATTACAATTTCTATTAAAAAATATCACTTTATTTTCTTATTCCTTTGACGTGAAAACAAAAAGTTAACTTTAAAGTTAGATAGAATCAATTAACTTATTTTATTTTACTAAATATAATTAGATGTATAATTAAACCGATCTCCATTTAACTTTTTTCTACTTAAATGAAAGATTAATTTTAAGAATTTTCCAAAAGAAAATACAAGTGTAAGTAAAGTAATTTATGTTGACTAATAAAAAAAATAAACAATTATATGCAGAGTGAGTTACATAAAAAAATTAAACTAAGTCATGCATGCAAAAGTTTGTATTTTCTCATGTGGATTTAAAAAGGTACAGAGTGGCAGAGATCTTAAAAGTAAGGGAACTATTTTCCTTGTATGGTCAGAAGAACACGTGAAGACACGTGCACATTGGAAACCAAGTGAGTTCAGTAATGTCTTTAACCCTAAAAATAACAAATATATATTTTTCTTCCTTTTGTTTAAACAAAACTAATAATGTGAAACACAAGAACATTGCGTTCTATAATGGAGATTTCCCCACTAAGAAACTAAGATGGTTGTTGATTTGACATGTTCCATGCAATCATGCGATAAATTTCAGTTAAAAAAATCTAACAGATAGATAGAAAAAAATTGCTATTTTCTTGAGTGATTTGCCATTTTTTTTCAGACATTTTTCTTTCTTTCAAGGATCCATCTTAAATTATTTCAAATCTTAAATGTAAAATTTATAGATTGATTTTGACGACAAGGCAATAATAAAATTGGTTTGGGTGGTTATTAAATAATTTAGTAATGGATGTGAAGTAATTGACGCACTTTCAAATCCGTAAAAATATTCTCTGAATATTCATTTAACATTAATCTTTTCATAAATCTTTGTGGCACTGAACTGAATCCTTAAATAACTTAAAACAACATTTGGACATGAATCCCTTAATTGTGTCTTTCAAACCTATGGATAAATTATTGTATGCCAAAGTATTTTTAAAAATAAAATAACTACTATTTGAAATTTAAAGTAATTCTGTAACGGGAAACTAAATATATTCGTCTTTTATGGATAGCATCTTTTATAGGAGCTTCCTACATTTTCATTTTCAACCATGAATTAATGGAAACACAATTTGGTCATCCTTTCTCATGAACATGAGTCCGAAAATATATAGAGTCCGCTGAATATTGTAAATAATTAGTAGATAAGAAAATGCGTTCGAAAAAAAAGTATTTATTGATGACAAGGCACGCTTGTAGTTCACGTATTCTAGTATGTATTTATTTATTTTTTGGTTGTGTTAAGGAAGTTACTTGAGAAAAATACAATATTATTTGAATATTTTTTTATATTAATTGATGTTTTTTTATACACAATCAGTGTTGACGTTTTGATGTTTACATGAACACGTCTTTATTATTTAGTTTTTTCTTTTTGTGTAACGTTATATTTGGGAAATACAATTTATAATTTAACACGTTTTCAGCGAACTTTAAATATTTTAAAATGACTAACCACTGATGTTTCCTCTCAAAACGAAAAAAAAAAACTGACTACCAATAAATTTCATATAAGACCTTAATTTAAAAAAACAAAAACAAAAAAAAACTTAACTCATGTCATGTCCATCGTATAATGATAAAAATAGTTACCATTTTTTTATAATTGAGACCTTAATTTATATTTCTAGACTTTATCTTTTTGTAACTTTTATTTTGATATAAGTTTTTCAAGACAAACATTCTAATGAATGCTTTATTTAATCACTAAAAAAGTACATTTTTAAAATAAAAACTATTTTATATTTGTATGATTCAAAATTTAAAATTGGATTGATAGGTTAACATGTATTCTTGTAAGGCCAGATGGATACCAAAAATCACGGTTATCCCAGTTCTTACGAATATGAAATGTTGCTAAAATGATTATCTCGAAGTTAGTGTAATTTGTGTCAAATTTTCTAACTTGGGACGATACTAGAAGTTCAAACACATGCATTTCTCTGCAAGTTTATGTGTGTAGAATAAAGAAGAGAAGAAATTTGTAGGGCAGTAGAAATGAACAGCGTCATTCCTCCACCCAAAAAGAGAAGTGACATTAAGCATAACCCAGTAGCGCGGTGAAGTGACGGAAAAGAGACAATAATTGTGAAAATTTAAGGATTTTTTTAGAAAAACTTTGCGTGTGTGAGCTCTTTTCCCAAGTAAACTGTCTAATAACAGCTGTTGCTTCCATGCCATATCCATGTGCCTCTTTTCCCTCACGCAAATGTTACTGTCTGTATTATTTTCCCTCAGCATAGTGGTCCAATATTTCACTGCAACCATGGAAACATTAACTAGCTGCAGGTATATGCTCAACAACAGGGACACATGTGCTCCCATCATATTAAATGACCAAAAGTATTTCATCACAATAATATAACCTGAGTCAACAAGCTTCGAGACCAAGCTTGACTTTCAGTTACAATTTTAAATGTGAAAACGAAATATACAAACCAACAAAAGTTAGATCATATGTTACATTCAACCTAGAAATTCACAAGAGTATCTGAAGTCACCACTACACACGGGCTCTTGCTGTCTGCGACTTCTCGATGAAGGAATTATATATTATTCAGTATTGGATGAGAAGAACTCTCCTCAATATGAACGCAGATGATGATGAGGGGAGGACAAAGGAAGATTTTTGATAAGTTTGGAGAGAGAGGATGAGATTTTGAATCGATGGGTTAATGAAAATTTGAGGAAAAGTGGTGGGGGAAGTTTCTTCTGGCAGATGCCACAAGGCGCATAGGCTAAAATCTTTGACTAATGTGTGAAACACTTTTTGAAAGTGGGAAAGCAAAAGGGAAACCTTGTCTGTTTTTTTTCTTTCATTTGCTCAATCTCTTTCCACTGCTTCTGAAGAAGCCAAATGTGAATATGTGTCGGTTCTGAAACTTTTGATATATCCAACACAACAACACTGCACATATATTTGACTTTGCCATAAGCCACTGCATCAGGAATTCAGGACCCACCTAAAATTTTTCCCTAACGTTAGACCACTGCCACACTTCCTCTGCCCAAAGCTTTTCAAATAAGATAGGCGGACAGTCAACATCTTCCCTCAACGGTCAGCCCTTTGATTTAGGACTCATATGGTGGGCTGCATGTGGGGGTGCCTGTCTCACACCTTTTCTTTATCATTCATTATCATTTAATTTGTTGAAAAAAAATTTACCCCTTTTTTCTTCATTAACCTTATTTATGTCTGTTTTGCTTACTAGGAAAAAGAAAAAAAATTAACTTTTATTTCCTATCTAGTTACCAAACAAAACCAGTAAGCAGATTTTCTTTCTTTTGTACCTTGCTCAGTTGAACTCCACCGATGTTGGTGTGTTAATGATCATTTTGTCCTTTTGGATTAATAACCTGTGAATGATTGATTAAATGTAAAGAACAATTATCACTAACGTTCTGATAAAAATTTTCTGTTCCAAGGTTTCTTTTCTCCTGTAGGGACAACCACTTTTTTCAAAAGAATGGCCAGGAAATTCTGAAGTTGATTTTCAGCCCAACACATTAATTACCATGAAACTGTCAACATACAATATGTGCACATTTAAGTATGTAGTGCACCTATTCGTACTGATACCATAATATATATATATATATATAATTGATTAAATGTAAAGAACAATTATCACTAACGTTCTGATAAAAATTTTCTGTTCCAAGGTTTCTTTTCTCCTGTAGGGACAACCACTTTTTTCAAAAGAATGGCCAGGAAATTCTGAAGTTGATTTTCAGCCCAACACATTAATTACCATGAAACTGTCAACATACAATATGTGCACATTTAAGTATGTAGTGCACCTATTCGTACTGATACCATAATATATATATATATATATAAAAGTTATCCATATCAATTCAAATTTCTTCTAAAAGGATTATATGTGTGCAGTATTTCTAGGTAATTATGATCTATCTGCATCAAGGTAGAACACATGATTTAGAAAGTCTGTTCAGTGTGTATTATTGAAGTTTGAGAATATTAGAAAAAAATGTAGTATAAAAAGGAACGAGAAAAAAGTACTGTTTTTTATTCCATGTCAAATTAGTGGTCTCTTTTAAGGACTCAACAAGTTTTTTTGGTAGGCTCCTTCATTGATTATGATGAAAATAGAGTACAACTATTGCTTGTACATATACAAATCTGAAATATTTAAACTATTCAATCATTTATGATAGGATGCTTATGGCATTAAACACATGGTGCTATCACTGTTCATGACCGTCATACACTGTTTAAGGTCTCTAATTTTTAAATTGTTCATACGCTGCTGTAACGTAAAATATAATAGGAGCAGTGTCCAAGACACTTGAACAATTTTCTAGCCTAACTCTCTGGGAACCTCTGAGAAATTCACCAACTCCGTAGTCTGAGCTAAGACTCCACCCTCCAACCTCAATAAAGAAAACAGGTTTTTGTCAACATTTTCATTGAATTTCAAGACCTTAATGTATTGTCCACCTCACCCCCACCACACCACCCTCATTTAAACACCATCTAGCTTTGCTATCTTCTCCCTTCTCCATACTCCTCCAGTTTTCATTGGTTTAATAGTCTTGAATCTGCTTTCAATTCTCTCCTCAGCCATCTTTTTTCAAAACTAGTTTTTTCTCCCTATTTGATGACAACTTAAAAGCCTAGTACTTCACTCGTTAACTCTGTTCACTCCCATATATTCTACTTGATAACAATCATAGCTTACCTCAAGTAGTACACAGTACACAAGCTTTGGATTTCAAACAGCTGATATTTATTTTCAACCTAAACTCTTACATTGGGGAGTCATTCTATTCATGTCTTTTGCTTATGTTCAAGATCTGAGAGAACCAATTGGTCTGCATTTTTGTCTTTGACATCTGGGATGGATCTTGCAAGCAGAAGATACTTGATTTATGTCTCACAACATGTGTCACAATCGGAAGCACTTTCTCCGGTCACAAGTCCAGGGGGTTCGTTCTTTCATCCTCATCAGCATTCTTCTAGCACCAGTTTTCCCATAATCGCAATTGCCATAATAGGAATAATGGCCACGGCTTTCTTGCTTGTGAGCTACTACATCTTTGTGATCAAATGCTGCCTCAATTGGCACAGAATTGATATTCTAAGACGTTTTTCTCCATCTAGAAGGCGTGAAGATCCATCACCCATGTACTCACCAGGCACAGAAGCTCGTGGACTGGATGAGGCAATGATCCGGTTAATCCCTGTGATTCAATACAAGACACAGGGGGATGATAGAGAATCTGGAGAATGTGCTGTTTGCTTGAATGAGTTTCAAGAAGATGAGAAGCTCAGGATTATACCAAATTGCAGTCATGTGTTTCACATTGATTGCATAGATGTTTGGCTTCAGAGCAATGCCAATTGTCCTCTGTGTAGAACAAGCATTTCCTTGACAAGCAGATTCCACGTTGAGCAGCTTCTTGCACTAAGGTCTTCTTCCCCTCCGGATCAAACTCCACCAAGGGAAAACCACATAGGAAGAGATGAAGATTTTGTTGTAATTGAATTGGGTAATATCCACGATAGAAGCCAAAATTTGCGAGAGAGAGGAAATGGTTTGGAGTTACCATCACCAACATCTCTTATTAGTTCTTGTACGCCAAGGAAATTGGAACAAGGAAATGTGCAGAAGAAAGCAATGAAACTGCATAAAGTGACGAGCATGGGAGATGAGTGTATTGATATTAGAGCAAAAGATAACCAGTTCTCAGTGCAACCAATCAGAAGGTCTTTCTCCATGGACTCATCAGGGGATAGACAGTTCTATTTAGCAGTTCAAGAAGCTCTGAGGCTGCAGAACAGGCAAGTCAATGAAGTCAGCACCACCGAAGGCTGCAGTGGTAGTGGTAGCAATAGAGTCAAGAGATCATTCTTTTCCTTCGGACATGGAAGTAGATCCAGGAGTTCTGTGCAACCCGTTTCTTTGGAACCCTGAAATTTCTCTTTTCCCTTCCCTCTTTCCATTATGTTTGCAACTTGCAAGTTTCTTAGGTCTTTACTTTTTCTTTTTTTTTTCTGAGATAGAGATGTTACTATGTTAGATGATGAACAGGTCATAGGATTGTATGACACACAAATATTCAATTGCATTTAATTTTAACTTGAAACCATTATTGCTGTATTTGTATGTTTCTGAGTGTATAAAATGGCTTCGTGTTGTGGTTCGGTCTGGTTGCTTCAAATGACAAGGAGATATGATAATGAGCATCATTGCAGAAATCATCACAGAATAGCTTTCTAAAGAAAATATTTTTCCACTTTGGATCGATTAAGTGCACGTTTGTGCTTAGTTGCGTTTAAGGTAACTGGACATTAATTCTTCAAAAGCAACAATGTTGTTACTTTTCAAAAAGGCTATTTTCTTGAAAAAATTTCAATAGCAACTATGTTAATATTACCTTAAAAAAAATCAGTTATGTAAACCTAATTGAAATGCAAAAGAAATCAAATTGAAATACAAAGATGTCATAAGAAAAAGAGAAATAAGGAAATATGGGTCTGAAGTAAAAGTAATGGTAGAAAAAGAAGTAAAAGTAATGGAAATTAAAGTGGAGCAATTACCAAAATGGAGAATCCAAGGTTGAATATGAAGTAGATAGATGAAGGTGTCCCAAGGTTTATTTTAATAGGAGGAGGAGGGTGGGAGTCCTTTTTCATTGATAAATAATATTCACCCACCAAAATTATATTTTTGTACACAGTGTGTGTTGTAATGCTGGTGGATGGAAAGATAAGTTTGGTCATATTTGGTTGGTTTGGTGATGGTTTTTGTTCCACAGTTTCATCTGTTTCCAGCTTGTAAGAATCAATCATTAATTTGCGGTTGAAATATTATATTAAGTAATGAAGGAACATCCAAATTTATTGGTGGTAGTAGTTCATCAATCATCGTTGTAGTTATGATTTTGCCCTACCAAATATTTGTCTGCACATAGTAATTTCTGAAGGTTGATGAGAGGGAAAAATTAAAACATTGATACGAAGTTTTACCTCTTGTTTTACTCTATGTCCAAAGCATCCTCTGCTATGTTTTTCTGATAATAGAGTCCCCCAAAATCGTGGTCTGTTTGAAGACCATGTGCACGTAAGCATGGGCAGAGCTACAAGATCTGCTGCACATTTCAGGAACCCGTGAGATGCTACATCTTTGTCAAAAAGGGAAGGGAGAAAAAACACAACCAAAAGTTTAAAGAAGGTAATCCCCAAAAAGATAAAAGATAATCTTCTATGCCATGGGGCCTCACTGTCTTGTGTTTTTTAAATCAGCTCAACATTTTTTCTTCTCTGTGTAAATTTATTTTTAAAAAATGTTCTTCGAATAAGACCACACAGTGGGTGCAAGATTTGATATCATTTTCTCTCAATTCCACCTGCCTTTTCTTTTTCTCTGTCAGAAATTTCACTTAGTGTATAAGAATATTCTACCAAAAACAACAATGCATACGAAAAATAATTCTTAGAATCGCCTATACACGCTTCCTAAAACTTTCTTTAAGTAATTTGGACACGTTCCTAAAACAACCTTTTTTGGTGTGACAACGGCAGGTGTGGAAAGACTCCGACACTGTGACATGCAAAATAAAATAGATTAAATATTAGTTTAGTCTATGAATTTTTATATAAAATTAAAAGTTATTTCAATGAAATTTTTTAATAATTTAATTTTCAAATTTAAAAAAATATAATCCTTTTAATTTAATTATATATTAATTTTTTATTTGTTAATAAATATTTTAGATTGACATTTTGATTACATATTTTGACACACTTTAATTAAAATGTCAATTTCAAATGTCATTTAACATTACTTAAATGGAAGTTAATATATTTAAGTTAAGAGAATTACACCTGTTTATTTTTAAGTTAGAAAATTAAAATATTTTTTTTCTGAAGACATTCATCTCTCCTTTACTTCGGATCAAAATTTCCTAAAGCCTATAATGTGTTGCACCAAGAAATTTGATAGATGTAGGAAGAAACATCCTTTCATAATTTCGTTATTTTCTTTGTTGTTCACATTTATTCAGCTCAGGGTTTGGGCTTCACAGGCCTTTCTTTTTAATTGTATTCACACATCCGTTTCTTCCTGCACCTACATATCATTCTTCTGCACCTATATTAAAGAAACTTTCCATTTTATCCTTTTTGAATTTCATATTCCAAAAGTACAAAACGAATTTTGGATTATATAATTCATGAGTTAATTTAAAAAAAAAATTAGTTTCTAAATTATATAATTCAATTTTTTTTAAAAAAAACAAAGCTTTTGGATAGTATAATTCGAAAGTTATTTTTCACTATAAATTATATTATTTAGAAGTTATTTTTAGTTTTAGATTGTACAGTGTCTAACATTTTTTTTAAAAAAAAAAACTGACTTTGTTTGAAAGTTAAAATTGATCCCCATATTTTATAATCCAAAAAAGATAAAAATAGAATTTTATTAATTTAGGGGTATAGGGAGAAATACATGGAGGTGTTGGAAGAAAATGCCCATCCCCACCCTTTTTGTCTTTGGAACGCACCTTTATGTAACGACTACAAATTGTTGTGTTGTGCAATACACAAATGGCATTTTTTTTCTTGTTGCACCTGTTTTGTTTATAAAATTTATAAACCCCTGTTCTCATTAAAATTATAATAAAAACTAAAAATTATCTATGCACCTTAATTTTATTTTTTTTATTCATTATGCAATGTATATTTTGAAAAGTATTTTTTTCAAATTTGAAAATACACTTCAAATGCATTCAAAAATTTTCTAATTTTCTTTTTGAATCCGAAAATTCTTATCTGATCGTATAATTCAGAATATAATTAAAAATATATAGATTACAAAATATGTTTCTAAATTTAGAAATTCGTTTTAAAATATACATTTTAGAATGATTAAAATAAAATATATTCTGGATTCATTTCAGAGTATATTAAAAAATTAAATTCTGCCCAAACCTCTCTTCTTCTTCCAACAAATTTCTCCTTTAATAACCTTGTTATTAAAAGGCATGGGATAGAGATGGAGAGCCAGGTCATGTTTGTCGTGTTGAGTGAGATAAGCGCTAAGCTAAAACCTTGGATAAGATCAATTGCAGCGCCACCAACTTCTTCTACACGTCTATCCTTTCGACCCAAACATATTACAATATTCTAAATGTCTATTAATTCATCATCATCATAAATTATTATAACTTTAATCAATCTCTTTTTAATTTTAAATTTTAACATACCATAGTTATTCCTTTCTCATGACTCAATAGTCTTTTTGGATAAAACATTAAGTTCAACTGAAGATTGATGTTTATGTTATGAGACAAAATACTTGTTTTTTTAATTTTATAAATTGAAAAATGTTTGTTTTTATTATTCTAGTCAAATTACATTATAAATAAATATGATCTATTTTACATATTTAGATTACCTACTAATTCTATTCTGATAATATTCTAGTTATCCTAAGAGAAAATAATGCACATACTACTTTTTTTTTATATTATCATTAAAATACTAATAATAATAAATGTATTTTTTTTTACTGTGAAAATAGGCAAAACCCTACTTACTTTGAAAAGTAACGTCTAAAACAGCAGCTTTAACTGTGTTGGTGTTTATCTCTGATTAAACTGTGTTGTTTTTTAGTTTGCAGTTGGTACAGCAAACAGAGCACATGCACTCTCCTTCTTCCGTATATCGTTTCCATCTCCACACCTAAACACACACCCCATCTTCAACCAATCACAATGAAGATAATGGTAGCCGTCAAGCGAGTGGTCGATTACGCCGTCAAAATCAGGGTCAAGCCCGACAAGGTAAGAAACTCACTCACAAACTCACCTTTTTTTTTTCTCTCTCCGTCCCAATTTGGCTCAACACGACGCCGCTTTGCAGACGGGGGTGGTGACCCAGAACGTGAAAATGTCGATGAACCCCTTCTGCGAGATCGCCCTGGAGGAGGCCCTTCGCATCAGAGAGTCTGGCTTGGCCTCCGAGGTTGTCGCTGTCAGCATCGGGCCCTCTCAATGCGTAGATACTCTCCGAACGGGTCTTGCCATGGGAGCCAACAGAGGCATCCACGTCGAGTCCACTGCTTCCCTGTTCCCTCTTTCGGTTGCCAAAATCTTCAGAAAGCTCGTGGAGATTGAGAAACCCGATCTTCTCATCCTTGGCAAGCAGGTATTACTACTACTGTTATCCTTTCTTGTATTTGTGGAAATTCAGGTTTTTGTTTGTGCGGGTGTTCTGGGGATTAGTAGAAATTGGTGCTTCAACTTGTGTTGTTCTCTATAAAGTGTTCTTGCTATTTTTTTACAGGCTATTGATGATGATTGCAATCAGACCGGGCAGATGGTAGCAGGACTCCTCAACTGGCCTCAAGGGACTTTTGCTTCAAAGGTTAGCGTTGTCCATTTTATCATTTGCATAATTAGTAAACAATGTCTTCATGACTTATCTATGATGTGCTTAAGTTACATGTCATCTTAATGCACTGTATTCAGATTATTTTACTGTTTCTCTCCTCCATTATTCCCGATTTGGTCAAAGCTAAATGCTTTTCTTTGAACACCAAATGGGTTCCTTCAATTGCAGTGACGTTGATTGGGTTTTCTCATTTTTTTTTCCTACTATTTATCACTGCCCTGTCCATCTAGAATAGGGTTATTGATGCCTTTGTGAAGTCATTAGGCGTTAGTATAGGACTTCCTTTGTTCATTTTATTTTAGGATGGGTATATACATGACATGTTAAATTGGGTATGTGTATATGGCAAACCAACCACTAATAGCATGCTTGGTTCTGTCCCCACCCCAGATAGTAGTGGTTTGTGGGAAAGCTCCAACTTAGAACGAAGAACTTAGTATTAGCTTTTCCAAAAACCATGGTTTGGGGAAGCCTTAATCTAAGATATCTTGGAAAAAAAAATAGACGGGGAACTGAAGCTCTTATGGTTATGGGTATATGTATGTGTTTTAATGTTTTCTACCGAAGGGTATTAATAGTAATTCCTCAACCACACAGGNGAAATCAAATTGAAATACAAAGATGTCATAAGAAAAAGAGAAATAAGGAAATATGGGTCTGAAGTAAAAGTAATGGTAGAAAAAGAAGTAAAAGTAATGGAAATTAAAGTGGAGCAATTACCAAAATGGAGAATCCAAGGTTGAATATGAAGTAGATAGATGAAGGTGTCCCAAGGTTTATTTTAATAGGAGGAGGAGGGTGGGAGTCCTTTTTCATTGATAAATAATATTCACCCACCAAAATTATATTTTTGTACACAGTGTGTGTTGTAATGCTGGTGGATGGAAAGATAAGTTTGGTCATATTTGGTTGGTTTGGTGATGGTTTTTGTTCCACAGTTTCATCTGTTTCCAGCTTGTAAGAATCAATCATTAATTTGCGGTTGAAATATTATATTAAGTAATGAAGGAACATCCAAATTTATTGGTGGTAGTAGTTCATCAATCATCGTTGTAGTTATGATTTTGCCCTACCAAATATTTGTCTGCACATAGTAATTTCTGAAGGTTGATGAGAGGGAAAAATTAAAACATTGATACGAAGTTTTACCTCTTGTTTTACTCTATGTCCAAAGCATCCTCTGCTATGTTTTTCTGATAATAGAGTCCCCCAAAATCGTGGTCTGTTTGAAGACCATGTGCACGTAAGCATGGGCAGAGCTACAAGATCTGCTGCACATTTCAGGAACCCGTGAGATGCTACATCTTTGTCAAAAAGGGAAGGGAGAAAAAACACAACCAAAAGTTTAAAGAAGGTAATCCCCAAAAAGATAAAAGATAATCTTCTATGCCATGGGGCCTCACTGTCTTGTGTTTTTTAAATCAGCTCAACATTTTTTCTTCCCTGTGTAAATTTATTTTTAAAAAATGTTCTTCGAATAAGACCACACAGTGGGTGCAAGATTTGATATCATTTTCTCTCAATTCCACCTGCCTTTTCTTTTTCTCTGTCAGAAATTTCACTTAGTGTATAAGAATATTCTACCAAAAACAACAATGCATACGAAAAATAATTCTTAGAATCGCCTATACACGCTTCCTAAAACTTTCTTTAAGTAATTTGGACACGTTCCTAAAACAACCTTTTTTGGTGTGACAACGGCAGGTGTGGAAAGACTCCGACACTGTGACATGCAAAATAAAATAGATTAAATATTAGTTTAGTCTATGAATTTTTATATAAAATTAAAAGTTATTTCAATGAAATTTTTTAATAATTTAATTTTCAAATTAAAAAAAATATAATCCTTTTAATTTAATTATATATTAATTTTTTATTTGTTAATAAATATTTTAGATTGACATTTTGATTACATATTTTGACACACTTTAATTAAAATGTCAATTTCAAATGTCATTTAACATTACTTAAATGGAAGTTAATATATTTAAGTTAAGAGAATTACACCTGTTTATTTTTAAGTTAGAAAATTAAAATATTTTTTTTCTGAAGACATTCATCTCTCCTTTACTTCGGATCAAAATTTCCTAAAGCCTATAATGTGTTGCACCAAGAAATTTGATAGATGTAGGAAGAAACATCCTTTCATAATTTCGTTATTTTCTTTGTTGTTCACATTTATTCAGCTCAGGGTTTGGGCTTCACAGGCCTTTCTTTTTAATTGTATTCACACATCCGTTTCTTCCTGCACCTACATATCATTCTTCTGCACCTATATTAAAGAAACTTTCCATTTTATCCTTTTTGAATTTCATATTCCAAAAGTACAAAACGAATTTTGGATTATATAATTCATGAGTTAATTTAAAAAAAAAATTAGTTTCTAAATTATATAATTCAATTTTTTTTAAAAAAAACAAAGCTTTTGGATAGTATAATTCGAAAGTTATTTTTCACTATAAATTATATTATTTAGAAGTTATTTTTAGTTTTAGATTGTACAGTGTCTAACATTTTCTTTTAAAAAAAAAACTGACTTTGTTTGAAAGTTAAAATTGATCCCCATATTTTATAATCCAAAAAAGATAAAAATAGAATTTTATTAATTTAGGGGTATAGGGAGAAATACATGGAGGTGTTGGAAGAAAATGCCCATCCCCACCCTTTTTGTCTTTGGAACGCACCTTTATGTAACGACTACAAATTGTTGTGTTGTGCAATACACAAATGGCATTTTTTTTCTTGTTGCACCTGTTTTGTTTATAAAATTTATAAACCCCTGTTCTCATTAAAATTATAATAAAAACTAAAAATTATCTATGCACCTTAATTTTATTTTTTTTATTCATTATGCAATGTATATTTTGAAAAGTATTTTTTTCAAATTTGAAAATACACTTCAAATGCATTCAAAAATTTTCTAATTTTCTTTTTGAATCCGAAAATTCTTATCTGATCGTATAATTCAGAATATAATTAAAAATATATAGATTACAAAATATGTTTCTAAATTTAGAAATTCGTTTTAAAATATACATTTTAGAATGATTAAAATAAAATATATTCTGGATTCATTTCAGAGTATATTAAAAAATTAAATTCTGCCCAAACCTCTCTTCTTCTTCCAACAAATTTCTCCTTTAATAACCTTGTTATTAAAAGGCATGGGATAGAGATGGAGAGCCAGGTCATGTTTGTCGTGTTGAGTGAGATAAGCGCTAAGCTAAAACCTTGGATAAGATCAATTGCAGCGCCACCAACTTCTTCTACACGTCTATCCTTTCGACCCAAACATATTACAATATTCTAAATGTCTAGTAATTCATCATCATCATAAATTATTATAACTTTAATCAATCTCTTTTTAATTTTAAATTTTAACATACCATAGTTATTCCTTTCTCATGACTCAATAGTCTTTTTGGATAAAACATTAAGTTCAACTGAAGATTGATGTTTATGTTATGAGACAAAATACTTGTTTTTTTAATTTTATAAATTGAAAAATGTTTGTTTTTATTATTCTAGTCAAATTACATTATAAATAAATATGATCTATTTTACATATTTAGATTACCTACTAATTCTATTCTGATAATATTCTAGTTATCCTAAGAGAAAATAATGCACATACTACTTTTTTTTTATATTATCATTAAAATACTAATAATAATAAATGTATTTTTTTTTACTGTGAAAATAGGCAAAACCCTACTTACTTTGAAAAGTAACGTCTAAAACAGCAGCTTTAACAGTGTTGGTGTTTATCTCTGATTAAACTGTGTTGTTTTTTAGTTTGCAGTTGGTACAGCAAACAGAGCACATGCACTCTCCTTCTTCCGTATATCGTTTCCATCTCCACACCTAAACACACACCCCATCTTCAACCAATCACAATGAAGATAATGGTAGCCGTCAAGCGAGTGGTCGATTACGCCGTCAAAATCAGGGTCAAGCCCGACAAGGTAAGAAACTCACTCACAAACTCACCTTTTTTTTTTCTCTCTCCGTCCCAATTTGGCTCAACACGACGCCGCTTTGCAGACGGGGGTGGTGACCCAGAACGTGAAAATGTCGATGAACCCCTTCTGCGAGATCGCCCTGGAGGAGGCCCTTCGCATCAGAGAGTCTGGCTTGGCCTCCGAGGTTGTCGCTGTCAGCATCGGGCCCTCTCAATGCGTAGATACTCTCCGAACGGGTCTTGCCATGGGAGCCAACAGAGGCATCCACGTCGAGTCCACTGCTTCCCTGTTCCCTCTTTCGGTTGCCAAAATCTTCAGAAAGCTCGTGGAGATTGAGAAACCCGATCTTCTCATCCTTGGCAAGCAGGTATTACTACTACTGTTATCCTTTCTTGTATTTGTGGAAATTCAGGTTTTTGTTTGTGCGGGTGTTCTGGGGATAAGTAGAAATTGGTGCTTCAACTTGTGTTGTTCTCTATAAAGTGTTCTTGCTATTTTTTTACAGGCTATTGATGATGATTGCAATCAGACCGGGCAGATGGTAGCAGGACTCCTCAACTGGCCTCAAGGGACTTTTGCTTCAAAGGTTAGCGTTGTCCATTTTATCATTTGCATAATTAGTAAACAATGTCTTCATGACTTATCTATGATGTGCTTAAGTTACATGTCATCTTAATGCACTGTATTCAGATTATTTTACTGTTTCTCTCCTCCATTATTCCCGATTTGGTCAAAGCTAAATGCTTTTCTTTGAACACCAAATGGGTTCCTTCAAATGCAGTGACGTTGATTGGGTTTTCTCATTTTTTTTTCCTACTATTTATCACTGCCCTGTCCATCTAGAATAGGGTTATTGATGCCTTTGTGAAGTCATTAGGCGTTAGTATAGGACTTCCTTTGTTCATTTTATTTTAGGATGGGTATATACATGACATGTTAAATTGGGTATGTGTATATGGCAAACCAACCACTAATAGCATGCTTGGTTCTGTCCCCACCCCAGATAGTAGTGGTTTGTGGGAAAGCTCCAACTTAGAACGAAGAACTTAGTAGTAGCTTTTCCAAAAACCATGGTTTGGGGAAGCCTTAATCTAAGATATTATCTTGGAAAAAAAAATAGACGGGGAACTGAAGCTCTTATGGTTATGGGTATATGTATGTGTTTTAATGTTTTCTACCGAAGGGTATTAATAGTAATTCCTCAACCACACAGGTATCATAGATGGTTTTAGGAATCATGCTCTTTTGTCAAACTCGATTACGAGAGTGTTCTACTGAATCTGAAATATGTTTCTTGTTACCTCTTCAATATTCTTGAACATTGATTGAACTTATCCCAGATTCCTTGTAAGATCAGACCTTGTGACATCCTTTTACCTCAATTGTTCTATCAAAAGTAGTTTAGAATTTGGTCATTGTTGTTTCTTGTGTAAAACTATTTTGTAACAAAAATTATTGATCAAGTTACTTAGCCACTGCTTTCAGAAAAATTCTCTCTATTTGCCACTTGATTTTCTTGGAAGGATACCCGGTCATCTGCTTGGTTTGAATTAGAGTAATCAAGTTTTCATGTGGTAGAATTTCTTAAGTTTTCGTTATATAGGCACATAGAACAGATTTGTAGCAGATGCACAAGAAAATTTGCAGTTCAGTGCTCCTGTTTTGATAATGTTTTCTAGGCTAAAATATGAAATGTTCTTTCTTCTGATAAAGTTATTTTATAACTAACTGCTGCTTTCCAGTAGGTTGTCCTTGATAAAGAGAAACGGGTTGCCACAGTGGACAGAGAGGTTGATGATGGTATAGAAACTGTGCGTCTGAACTTACCAGCAGTAATAACGTGAGTGTCATATTCTTTTATTCTTTTATGTTTAAAAAGAATTATATCCACCCTATCTATATTTCTAAGAAGCCTTGCCTTTCTATACTTGCTCTCATCTGGGTTTATCTTTATCACATGGTGGTGACCTAAGACCCATTTATTTTCTATTTTCTTTTCATTTCATTCATAACTAAATTTCAATTAACCAATTGGATCATGAAGCATCGTACAATCTTTTATAAACTAACTTCTCCCTAAATTGGTAAGAAAAGCTTTCTCTTTGACTAATGTGATTGAAAAGAAGGAATATCATGTTAAATGTAAGATTGTAGTTTTCGTTTTATTTTCTGTATTGTTTAGCATGGGAGTGTTTGAAATCACAAGTATGGTAGAATTTGTTTTTAATGCTATGTTTTCTCCTTTTCTATTTTTGGTTTTTTAGTTACTTGATACTGAAGGAGATAATATTTTTGAGACTGAGTGTAAAGCTTGAGTAAAAGTGCACTCAGCCTTGGAAATTTATATACATGAATGATTACAAACCTAATAAATACAAAACAAAGTTGTTACATGTGTCATCTTTAAATTTTGATCTATTCATAACTATTCTTGAAATTTCTCTGGGATGCACATCCCTATGATGCAACTATATCAAGTTTCTTGATTGTTCTTACAAGATTATCTCTTATCAAGCAACCATGCTGAGAGTATAAGGATGTCGAAAGTTTTCTGAATTTTCAGGCGGGTATCTGCTCCTTGCACCCTCTGAAGAAACAGCAATAAATTGAACTCGAAGTGCACAATAATATTATTCATTTTAGCAACTTACTGTATATGCATTACTATAATACAATAGAAACGCTGTCACTAATGCCTCGTTTGAGATTCAAATACTTAAGAGGAATATCGTGAGGATGATTCTTTTCTGTTAAACCCATGCTTTGGAACATGTGTGATCACAAAAAGTAAACTATATACATCAGTAAAAGTGATTCAAATGAGCAGTGACATAAGAATCCATTTGCGTTTACCTAAGATGACATGTTTCATAAATACTTATTTGATACGAATCTTGATATACATAGTTGGACGTATTGTGTTGCTCTAACATCTGGATGACTTGGTGACTTTTCTTCATGCAGCACCGATCTGAGATTGAATCAACCAAGGTATGCGACTCTTCCCAACATAATGAAAGCAAAGTCGAAACCCATAAAAAAGTTCACTCCGGAGGAGTTGAATGTGGAAATCAAATCTGATTTGGAGATAGTTGAAGTCACAGAACCTCCCAAGAGAAAAGCAGGGGTTATTCTTTCATCAGTGGATGAGCTGATCGACAAACTAAAAAATGAGGCCAATGTCATTTGATTATTCTCTCTTTACCCCAGTTACTTCTCAAGAAAAGATGAATAATCATGATCCAACATTCTTATACATTTGATCAATTAACACGATAAATTAAATGGTGTTCCTTTTTACTTTATTTATAGCAAATTCCATTTTTTTTAGTGTGTTTGGATAAAGAATTCTTCAAAGACAATTCATTTAAAAGGTAGTAATTTTCTACATTCTGATCATTTTAGTTACGAAGTCATGTTCTTGTAAGTGTAGTTAGTGGGTTAATTTTCTAATGTAAGAGAACTCTCATCTTCACGTAATCCAAGTTCTCATCATGGAGAATTGAAAATAAGGACAACGAGGTTAGGAATTTAAAATTAGAGTATGAAGTTTTATATTAAAGAAGATAAGGAAGAAGAGCATATATAGAAAAAATTTTAAACTCGTTGTTCTAAAATTTTCAATTAAAAATAATATTAAGTCTTTGATATACGAGTGACTCATAATTTGAAATTCATTAAATCTATTTTTTCTATTAAGTACCAACATATCTACTGAAAGAATCCGACAAGCCTTAAAAATTATAAACAATTTTATTGTTGAGCACTTTGAAAGGCATTAAAGAAAAAATATAATAAATCTTAAAATTGATATCATACATACCACTAAACATTGTTCAGCACTTTAACTCAGCTAAACATTTTAATTTCTGAGTTGGAGACTGTTAATTTGGTTTTTAAAATTAGGTTTAATAACCAATTTAGTCCTCACTTTGGTTGAAAAATCTCAATTTAGTCCCTCGTTATAAAAATGTTTTACATTAGTCCTAACTTTTAAAATAGTGGGTCAGATTGGTCCCTTTCGTTAAATATAAGTTAACAAAATTAATGGATGATGATGTGACACAGCTTAAAGCTGATNATGGCAAACCAACCACTAATAGCATGCTTGGTTCTGTCCCCACCCCAGATAGTAGTGGTTTGTGGGAAAGCTCCAACTTAGAACGAAGAACTTAGTAGTAGCTTTTCCAAAAACCATGGTTTGGGGAAGCCTTAATCTAAGATATTATCTTGGAAAAAAAAATAGACGGGGAACTGAAGCTCTTATGGTTATGGGTATATGTATGTGTTTTAATGTTTTCTACCGAAGGGTATTAATAGTAATTCCTCAACCACACAGGTATCATAGATGGTTTTAGGAATCATGCTCTTTTGTCAAACTCGATTACGAGAGTGTTCTACTGAATCTGAAATATGTTTCTTGTTACCTCTTCAATATTCTTGAACATTGATTGAACTTATCCCAGATTCCTTGTAAGATCAGACCTTGTGACATCCTTTTACCTCAATTGTTCTATCAAAAGTAGTTTAGAATTTGGTCATTGTTGTTTCTTGTGTAAAATTATTTTGTAACAAAAATTATTGATCAAGTTACTTAGCCACTGCTTTCAGAAAAATTCTCTCTATTTGCCACTTGATTTTCTTGGAAGGATACCCGGTCATCTGCTTGGTTTGAATTAGAGTAATCAAGTTTTCATGTGGTAGAATTTCTTAAGTTTTCGTTATATAGGCACATAGAACAGATTTGTAGCAGATGCTCAAGAAAATTTGCAGTTCAGTGCTCCTGTTTTGATAATGTTTTCTAGGCTAAAATATGAAATGTTCTTTCTTCTGATAAAGTTATTTTATAACTAACTGCTGCTTTCCAGTAGGTTGTCCTTGATAAAGAGAAACGGGTTGCCACAGTGGACAGAGAGGTTGATGATGGTATAGAAACTGTGCGTCTGAACTTACCAGCAGTAATAACGTGAGTGTCATATTCTTTTATTCTTTTATGTTTAAAAAGAATTATATCCACCCTATCTATATTTCTAAGAAGCCTTGCCTTTCTATACTTGCTCTCATCTGGGTTTATCTTTATCACATGGTGGTGACCTAAGACCCATTTATTTTCTATTTTCTTTTCATTTCATTCATAACTAAATTTCAATTAACCAATTGGATCATGAAGCATCGTACAATCTTTTATAAACTAACTTCTCCCTAAATTGGTATGAAAAGCTTTCTCTTTGACTAATGTGATTGAAAAGAAGGAATATCATGTTAAATGTAAGATTGTAGTTTTCGTTTTATTTTCTGTATTGTTTAGCATGGGAGTGTTTGAAATCACAAGTATGGTAGAATTTGTTTTTAATGCTATGTTTTCTCCTTTTCTATTTTTGGTTTTTTAGTTACTTGATACTGAAGGAGATAATATTTTTGAGACTGAGTGTAAAGCTTGAGTAAAAGTGCACTCAGCCTTGGAAATTTATATACATGAATGATTACAAACCTAATAAATACAAAACAAAGTTGTTACATGTGTCATCTTTAAATTTTGATCTATTCATAACTATTCTTGAAATTTCTCTGGGATGCACATCCCTATGATGCAACTATATCAAGTTTCTTGATTGTTCTTACAAGATTATCTCTTATCAAGCAACCATGCTGAGAGTTTAAGGATGTCGAAAGTTTTCTGAATTTTCAGGCGGGTATCTGCTCCTTGCACCCTCTGAAGAAACAGCAATAAATTGAACTCGAAGTGCACAATAATATTATTCATTTTAGCAACTTACTGTATATGCATTACTATAATACAATAGAAACGCTGTCACTAATGCCTCGTTTGAGATTCAAATACTTAAGAGGAATATCGTGAGGATGATTCTTTTCTGTTAAACCCATGCTTTGGAACATGTGTGATCACAAAANTTTTAATTTCTGAGTTGGAGACTGTTAATTTGGTTTTTAAAATTAGGTTTAATAACCAATTTAGTCCTCACTTTGGTTGAAAAATCTCAATTTAGTCCCTCGTTATAAAAATGTTTTACATTAGTCCTAACTTTTAAAATAGTGGGTCAGATTGGTCCCTTTCGTTAAATATAAGTTAACAAAATTAATGGATGATGATGTGACACAGCTTAAAGCTGATGTGTTAGATTGGTCCCTCGTTAGCTTTAAGTTGTGTCACATCATCATCCATTAATTTTGTTAACTTATATTTAACAGAAAGGATCTGACCCACTATTTTAAAAGTTAGGACTAATTCAAAACACTTTTATAACGAGGGACTAAATTGAGATTTTTCAACCAAAGTGAGGACTAAATTGGCTATTAAACCTTAAAATTATTAAAATATGAGAAACACTGATGCCACTGTTAAATGCTTTTTTGCATTTACACTAGCCCATATATGAGAACCTAATCACAGGAAAAGAAAACCACAGTTTGATTTATAAATTGTAAGATAATGTCAACTTGTTTCTGAACCACTAAAATTGAACAATAATTTGTAAAACTGAAGAATTCAATCTAGTTAGTTCAACTACAGATTTTTTCTTTTCAGAAATAATATTTTAAAAAATATTATCTAAATAGACTCTAGCTATTCTATTTTTCACACTAATATGGATCACTGTAGCAGTAGGGAATTCAGAATTCTGAGAACCAAATTCCCAACTTTATTTGGTATCTTCGGCGACAAAAACACTGGAATTTAATTTCTTGGGGTCGAATTTTGGAAGGTTTTTTTAACTTTTTTTTGTCATGCTATGTTATATGAGAGGTGTTTGAAAGTTTCGTTTAACTAAAAAAAATTATATTTATAAGTATAAATCTTATTTTATAAGATTGAGATATAAGATTGAGTTATAATTAAAATTTACAAGATAATATTAAAAGTATGAATTAGAGTTTATTCAAGAGTTGTTTAAAGATTTTAGAAATTTAAAACAAATTTAACAACGATATATTTTTATTTACCAATAAAATAATTTATGTTAAAATATATTATAATTTTATTTAAAATTTATTTTTGTGATTTTTGTTTTACAAAATTATTCAATAAATTTTTCCAATAGATTATAAAATCAATTTATTTAATATTTATTGAAGTATTGTTGGTCTTAAATAAACTTTTATTATATTTACTTTTGAAAAAGTCCTTTCAAAAACTTAAATTCTTAATATTATTGTACAAGTTATATATACATTTGAAAAAAAATATTCTTTTCATATAATTAAGAATGTCAATCAATTTATTATTTTTCGATCCTATACTTTTTTTAAGATATTTAATTACGAAAATAAATTTAATCTATCTCAAGATATAACAAATTATCATATTTCAAAGATTTTTTAAAGTTTAAGAAATTTTCTTTCAAAAGAATACATTGTAAAGACTTTACCATTTTAACACTAAATCAAAAATCAAAAATATCTTCGTATATATTAAATTGTTCAATTCTTGAAGAGATTTTATTATTTCATTCTGATTTGATATAGAATGTAATCTAGCTAACCTAGGGTTCTGTTTATAACTAACAAAACTAATCATAGATATAAACACTTAGTTATTTTTATATGTAAAAGTGAGTGAATGAGAAATACCTCTTTTCTCTCCAGCAGCTTATGTGTTGAGAAGCAAGTGCATGTCCTGCATAGACAGAGAAGAGAGATCCTTCATTGTTAGACGCCCAACAACATTCCCATAAATCTTTTCTTTCTACGACTAATATCTTTTTTACAAAACTTAGAAGATTCTATATCCATTTCAAAAGTAATCTTCTTGGCAAAAACCACTGTATGTTCAAATCCATTTCCTCTATATCTTTTTTATTGTAAATTCTTATTACCTAAGTTAACTGCAAATAGAATGTCATACAATATTCATACCTAACAAAAATTTAAAGTTTTCTAGCTCATAAGTTGTTGAATAGTTAGTTTCATTTTTTATTTTAGGACCATCACTGACTTATTATCTTCTTTTGAAGTTTTGAATAGACTAATTCATATTTTCTACTTTATATATCTATATATTTTTATACAAAATAAAAAATTATAATATATATAACACTACTAAAAATAAATATTTAAAAAGAATGAGTTAAAACAATAAAATTTTGTTCTAGTTGGCAAGAAAATTAAACTCCATCAAGACTCATAATATCATATGAAATTTCAAGTCTTTTTGTCTTTTATAATAAGTGCTTAAATTTAATTTTCCAATTTCAACTTTTTTATAAACCTAGGGTATATAAGCTTAATAATATATATAAACTTATTCATACAATAAAAAAAAAACTATTATAATATTAGAT